AACTTAAGAATATAGAGCGCCACAAAAGAGAACCAGAAGTGAATTCACTGTGTAAGGAGCGAAGCTGGGAAGCAATTTGAAAATGACATTGAGCTAAGGACCAGCCAAAGCTGTTTTATAGCCATATAATGAGGAAAATGATATTGAGAGACCATGTAATCAGATTGTGGAGATAAAGGGGAGTTCTCACTGTAAATAATAATGAGGCATATAAGTAACTTGACAAAAAATTCAGGAAGTCATTACAATAGAACCAACATGCAGATCAAAAGAGACCCAGAAGGCCTTTTTATGAGATGAAAGGCTGGAAGAAACAATGGATAATATTGTAGCCACTGAAGAAAAGGTCAAACATACATGGAAGATCTAGATGTAACGGAATTCATGGGAACAGATTTAATATTACAGACGAAATAGGGCCGCAGAAGAACTTTGTCACCCATTATCTAAAATGTTTAATGAAACACCGAGACAGGAAATAATCCAGAATTCTGGAAAAAATAAACAGTATTACCCATATTAAAATTAAGGAGAGGGGGGGTGCAAAGTGGAGGAAATAAATTACAGACCAGTGTTACAGCCAAGTGTTCTGTAAAAAGTGCTGGAGAAAGTAAGAATCAGCAGCATCTGGAGAGGACCAGCTTCCTAACAAAAAAGTCATCACGGATTTAGAAAGGCCAAAAATCGTGCCTGACAAACTTGACTTTTACGACAGGGTTAATTAAATAAAACAGGAAAAAGAAGGGAGAGTAGATTGTATTTTCTTGTTTGTTAAAAAGCATTTGGCAATTGTATGAAAGGGTGGTGTACAAAATGGAATCATTGGGAAAATTCTAAAGTGGGTAAAGGAGTATCTGAAGGACAGAAAGCAAAGAGCCACAGTCAGATTTCGTAGGGTTCGAGCTGACCTTACCTTGAGATTACCTTGTGTTGGTTTCAAGGATCAACGTCCCGGCCTCTGATGAGGTTTTCTGCTTGATGGTCTGGTCAACCAGGTTGTTAGACTCTGTTGCTCGCACCGTCACTCGGAGCTGTTTATAAAGTTCTCTTTTTGAACACCAGGAGAGGTCGGCTAGTTATGACCCTTGTGTGTAGAGGAAGCGTGTTGAACAGGTTTGGGCACTTGATGGTGATAGAGTTCTCTCTCAGCCTCCCTATTGCACCTCTGCTTTTCAGCGGAACTGTTATGTATTTCTTCCCATACGTCATTGTCTCATGTGGAATTATTTCCTTGTGCAGATTTGGAACCAATCCCTCTAATATTTTCCAAGTGGAGATTATTATATATATCTTCCACCTGCACTATAGGGAATACAAATTTAACATATTTAAACACTCCCAATAATTTAGATGTCTTAATAGTGGGGTGTTAGCAATAAGATATCAGTGTATGTTTTCCTTATCAACAATTTCTCCAGCTTTGAATGGGACTGTTATTGTGCAACAGTATTCCACTTGAGATGGAAAAAGAAGTGTAGGTGTTCAGCAGTCCTCCTAATGGCTGGTGTCAATGCCAATCACATTTACAAAAAAAAAGTGGACTGCTTGGCTGTTGCCTTCTGTGGTAAAGTAAGGGAAAACACGCAAAACAAATTGTATGAACAATGAAACTTTAATTAACTTGAAAATAAATATGAACAAAGATAATCCCTTGGCTATGTACAGTGCAAACAAACAAGATTATAAAGTCAAAAAAATAACATAAAATATAACAGTGGTGGCGTTACTCTAAAATGAATAAAGACATGAATTAACAGGTGCTGAGAATAAAGTGCTGGCTTAGAACATCCACTAATAAACAGAGCGTATATCAGATGGTTGTATCAGCTTTGAGAGCACAGGATATTCTAAATCCAATGGCTTGTGCATGCTCAGTCATCGGCTATGTAGATGGCGCTGAAGTGCAGAGGTGCAGACGTGGTTGGAAGTGGTGGTTTGGTGATCGAAGAAGGTGGAGAGCAAGTGTCTGATACGTATGCGCTTGGCAAAAACGTATTTTACTCAATACGTACTATACTTGCTTGTAGTACCTAGATGTTGTAGATGTACTGAAGTAACATGATGATAGGAAAGAGCAGGCCAAATCTCTCTTGAAGGAGATTATCGTAACACACTCTAGAGAGAGCAGGAACGTCTTAAAAAGTATCATCATTGATGACCAGACCACACACTAGAAGGTGAAGGGACGACGACGTTTCGGTCCGTCCTGGACCATTCACCACATTCATCACAATCGACTTGAGAATGGTCCAGGACGAACCGAAGCGTCGTCGTCCCTTCACCTTCTAGTGTGTGGTCTGGTCAACATACTTTAGCCACGTTATTGTGACCTATCGCCTGCATATCATCATTGCTCTGACATCTCTTGTTTGAAGGTTCTTGTTATCCAACATGTAACAAGTGGGGGTCCCACAAGGCTTGGTCATTGTTCTTCCTAATTTATGTGAACTACCTACCCGATGGAGAGAAGTCGGACATGTCAGTGTTTGCAGATGTTGTACAGATGATGAGGAATGGAAAAACAGGACTACAAACAGTTTGAGAATCTTGACAAACTCTTGGAATGGGCAAATAAGTGGTTGCTAAAATTCAATCCGAAAATGTGTAAGGTAATGACGATGGGAAAGAGAGAGAGAGAGAGAGAGAGAGAGAGAGGAAATTAGGAGGTATCTACACCATATGTGTAAGATAACTAAAGTGATCGGAAAGAGAGGGAGATTTGAGAGTGGATATTATTCCATCATAAACAGGGGTAACATTTAGAGCATGTGTGATGCTAGCAAACATTAGAACATTGTTTAGAAACCTAAATCAGGACTCCAAAGCAATCTACACAACATTTGTTAGACCAATGTGGGAATTTGCAGCACCGACATGGAATCTGCATATTGGTGCCAAAGCTAAGAGCTTCACACACCTCCCAAATAGGTGTGCGAAGTGTTTCAAGCTGCACCAGTAGCACGAGCAGGTCTAGAAAATGGCTACTAAAGTTTAACTCGGGTAAGTGTAAAGTAATGAAATTGGGTGACGGGAGCAGGAGGCCGAACACAAGCTACTATCTGGGAGGTGAAATCCTGCAAGAGTCAAGAAGAGAGATAGATCTGGGGGTTAATAATAGACCGAACCTGTCTCCAGAGGCCCACATCAAAAGGATATCATCAGGAGCATATGCTAGATTGACCAACATAAGAACTGCCTTTAGAAACTTGTGTAAGGAATCAATCAGAACCTTGTCAGACCAATCTTGGAGTATGCAGCTCCAGACTGGAGTCCATACCTAGTTAAATACAAGAAGATTTAAAATGCCACCAGACTAGTCTCAGAAGTGAGAGGTATGGGTTACAAGGAAAGGCTACGGGAGCTAATCCTCACGTACCTGGAAGACAGAAGATTAAGGGGAGACATGATAACCACCTACAAAATTATCAGAGGAATTGACAGGGTGGACAAAGACAAACTAATTAGCATGGGTGGAACGCGAACAAGGGGACAGGTGGAAACATAGTACCCAAACAAGCCAGAGAGATGTTAGTAAGATTTTTTTCAATGTCAGGTTAGTTAACATGAATGCATGAGGCAGAGATGTGGTGGAGGCAGACTCCATACACAGTTTCAAATGTAGATATGATAGAGTCCAATAGGCTCAGAAACCTGCGCATCAGTTGATTTACTGTTGAGAGACTGGACCAAAGAGCGGAAGCTCAACCCTGCAAGCACAACTAGGTGAGTAAGAAGGTTTAGCTTTAGGGGGATCGAAGATATAGAACAAATGCTGAAGCGATCATAACAGTCTGAAGAAATAAAATTAGAACAAAGCTGTACAAGAGATAAATAAAAATCCTAAATATTTGTTCACATGCGCAAGATCGAAATAAAAAACTCCTCCAGTATTGGACCTTTAAAACCTATTTTGAAAGTTCATTCCCAAAGGAAATTAAACAGAATGTAAAGAGTAACAGTCAATCTATTTAAATCAAGTCCAAGCACAGTGAAAAGCTTTGTACCTCAGGGCACAGTTCTTGCTCCACTTTTTTCTCATTCTCGTATCAGATATAGACAAAAAACTATTTTCCTACTTCGTGTCATCTTTTGCAGATGATACAAAATCAACATAAAAATTTCTTTGGAGAAGACACTGAAAAACTACAAGGCGATATTAATTGCCTTCGATTAGGCAACGGAAGATAACATGATTTTTAACAGTGATAAGTTCCAGATACTTAGGCATGGGGGATATCATGAACTTAAACGAAATATGGGGTACTACACACAGTCAGACCTATTCATTTTTGTTTTCAAGAAACAATTAAACAGGTTTCTGCAAGAGTAAGTCAACACAGCTAAACATTATATGTCAGAAATTTTTAACTCTGAGAACCTATGAAAATCCTTCGTCGGTCTAATGATAATTATAGATGCAGGCGATGAGTCACAATAAAGTGGCAGACGTACGTCCCATTCTCAATCACCTTGAGAATGGTCCAGGACGGACCGAAACGTCGTCGTCCCTTTACTTTCTAGTGTATGGTTTGCTCAACCTATATACCTACGTTCTTACTGAGAATTTCGTATATGGCTTGTTAGTGACCAAAGTGTTTGGTTTGAGGGAATTGGAAGTATGAAAAATTAGGAAGAGCATTGGAAATGGTGGTTGGTAAAGAGGTTTGAGGATTAATTATTGCCAGAAAAGTGTAGCTATATATGTGCTTACCTTAGACTGTTTTCCAATTTATGATAATATAAGTACCTTAGTGTTTTTGTTTGATGTGTGTGTGTGTGTGTGTGTGTGTGTGTGTGTGTGTGTGTGTGTGTGTGTGTGTGTGTGTGTGTGTGTGTGTGTGCGTGCCTTAGATTGTTTTCCAATTTATGGTAATATAAGTACCTTAGTGTTTTTGTTTGATGTGTGTGTGTGTGTGTGTGTGTGTGTGTATGTGTGTGTGTGTGTGTGTGGGGGGGGAGGAGGAGGCAGAGGTAGTAACCCAATGTTGTTTGTGACGCAGTACAAGACCCTGAAGCTGGTCATCAAGAACTGCCAGCACCAGAAGAAGTGCCAGATCGACGTGGTGCCCCACACCTTCAGCGACCTCGACCCTTGCCCCGACACCCGCAAGTACATTGAGGTCGCCTACAAGTGCCGCCCAGGTGAGTGTTGAGGGCACTCTTCCTATAGTACTCTCTCCCCCTCTACTCTTCTGCCTCTCACTCTACTCTCCTGCCTCTCACTCTTTACTCTCCGGCCTCTCACTCTTTACTCGCCTGCCTCACTCTTTACTCTCCTGCCTCTCACTCTACTCTCCTGCCTCTTACTCTTTACTCGCCTGCCTCACTCTTTACTCTCCTGCCTCTCACTCTACTCTCCTGCCTCTTACTCTTTACTCGCCTGCCTCACTCTTTACTCTCCTGCCTCTCACTCTACTCTCCTGCCTCTTACTCTTTACTCGTCTGCCTCACTCTTTACTCTCCTGCCTCTCCCTCTACTCTCCTGCCTCTTACTCTTTACTCGCCTGCCTCACTCTTTACTCTCCTGCCTCTCACTCTACTCTCCTGCCTCTCCCTCTTTACTCGCCTGCCTCTCCCTCTTTACTCTCCTGCCTCTCCCTCTTTACTCTCCTGCCTCTCCCTCTTTACTCGCCTGCCTCTCCCTCTTTACTCGCCTGCCTCTCCCTCTACCCTTTGGACTCTTTCATTACTCGCTGGACTCTCTCCTTATTTTATTATCTCTATTCATAAATTTATTTATATATATATATCTTGCATTGTGTATTTATATTATCAACTATTACGCTGCTTTTCGTGCCTCATACTAACTGTTGATTGACACACTCGTTGCCTGCTCCCCCCCCTGTCCTGAAGCTGACCAATCACTGTAGTTGGTTTGCCGGTCACACGCTCGCCTAATCGTAACAGTCTGGTTGCTCCGGTATTTTGGGGTGGTGGCCAATTATCTCCTGTTGTTTAGCGACCATATGTTGTGTAGTTCTGGCACGAGCGTTGTTGATTTAGTAGCCTATGATGGTTTGTTCTTTGTTGTTGTGAGACCTGATGGGGCTTTGAGCCTAGTACAGGGGCCTCTGAGCCTAGTACTGGGGCCTCTGATCCTGGTACTGGGGCCTCTGATCCTAGTACTGGGGCCTCTGATCCTAGTACTGGGGCCTCTGATCCTGGTACTGGGGCCTCTGATCCTAGTACTGGGGCCTCTGATCCTAGTACTGGGGCCTCTGATCCTGGTACTGGGGCCTCTGATCCTAGTACAGGGGGCCTCTGATCCTAGTACAGGGGCCTATGATCATGGTAGTGGGGCCTCTGATCCTGGTACTGTGGCCTCTGATCCTAGTACTGGGGCCTCTGAGCCTAGTACTGGGGCCTCTGATCCTGGTACTGGGGCCTCTAATCCTAGTGCTGGGGCCTCTGATCCTAGTACTGGGGCCTATGATCCTGGTAGTGGGGCCTCTGATCCTGGTACTGTGGCCTCTGATCCTAGTACTGGGGCCTCTGATCCTAGTACTGGGGCCTCTGATCCTAGTACTGGGGCCTCTGATCCTGGTAATGGGGCCTCTGAATCAAGTACTGGGGCCTCTGATCCTAGTACTGGGGCCTCTGATCCTGGTACTGGGGCCTCTGAACCTAGTACTGGGGCCTCTGAAGCTAGTACTGGGGCCTCTGATCCTAGTACTGGGGCCTCTGAATCAAGTACTGGGGCCTCTGATCCTGGTACTGGGGCCTCTGAATCAAGTACTGGGGCCTCTGATCCTGGTACTGGGGCCTCTGAACCTAGTACTGGGGCCTCTGATCCTGGTACTGGGGCCTCTGATCCTGGTACTGGGGCCTCTGAACCTAGTACTGGGGCCTCTGATCCTGGTACTGGGGCCTCTGAATCAAGTACTGGGGCCTCTGATCCTAGTACTGGGGCCTCTGATCCTGGTACTGTGCCTCTGGTCCTAGTACTGGGGCCTCTGATCCTAGTACTGGGGCCTCTGAAGCTAGTACTGGGGCCTCTGATCCTAGTACTGGGGCCTCTGATCCTAGTACTGGGGTCTCTGATCCTAGTACTGGGGCCTCTGAACCTAGTACTGGGGCCTCTGATCCTAGTACTGGGGCCTCTGATCCTGGTACTGGGGCCTCTGATCCTAGTACAGGGGCCTCTGATCCTGGTACTGGGCCTCTGATCCTAGTACTAGGGTCTCTGATCCTAGTACTGGGGCCTCTGAACCTAGTACTGGGGCCTCTGATCCTAGTACTGTGCCTCTGGTCCTAGTACTGGGGCCTCTGATCCTAGTACTGGGGCCTCTGATCCTAGTACTGGGGCCTCTGATCCTGGTACTGTGCCTCTGGTCCTAGTACTGGGGCCTCTGATCCTAGTACTGGGGCCTCTGATCCTAGTACTGGGGCCTCTGATCCTAGTACTGGGGCCTCTGAACCTAGTACTGGGGCCTCTGATCCTAGTACTGGGGCCTCTGATCCTGGTACTGGGGCCTCTGATCCTAGTACAGGGGCCTCTGAGCCTAGTACTGGGGCCTCTGATCCTAGTACTAGGGCCTCTGATCCTAGTACTGGGGCCTCTGAACCTAGTACTGGGGCCTCTGATCCTAGTACTGGGGTCTCTGATCCTAGTACTGGGGTCTCTGATCCTAGTACTGGGGCCTCTGAACCTAGTACTGGGGCCTCTGATCCTAGTACAGGGGCCTCTGATCCTGGTACTGTGCCTCTGATCCTGGTACTGTGCCTCTGGTCCTAGTACTGGGGCCTCTGATCCTAGTACAGGGGTCTCTGATCCTAGTACTGGGGCCTCTGAACCTAGTACTGGGGCCTCTGATCCTAGTACAGGGGCCTCTGATCCTGGTACTGTGCCTCTGATCCTGGTACTGTGCCTCTGGTCCTAGTACTGGGGCCATGACAGTACTCACAGTAGATCACAGTAGATCACAGTACATCACAGTAATAAAAGACATCACAATCCCAAACACAACTGGCTTCAACCACAAGATCATTAATACAAAAAACAAACATAAATTGATATTACGTCTCCAAAAAGACACATGCAACAACAAGGGGAATTTAATCAACTTTATTTCAACAATCGGGGCACTGATGGGGCGCATAATAAAGAAATAAAATGAAAGAAATTGAAATAGAACAAATTAACTATACGTTATCGAACACGCCGTGAGAAGCAGCACTGAACGTTCAAAACTCCAAAACAGATTATAAAGACATTAACTGCTTATGTATTTACAAAATTCATAAAATGTCGTTGACATTTTTAAAAAGTCCAAGGTTAAAAAAGTCCAAGGTTAAAAAAGTCCAAGGTTAAAAAAGTCCAAGGTTAAAAAAGTCCAAGGTTAAAAAAGTCCAAGGTTAAAAATGTCCAAGGTTAAAAATGTCCAAGGTTAAAAAAGTCCAAGGTTAAAAAAGTCCAAGGTTAAAAATGTCCAAGGTTAAAAATGTCCAAGGTTAAAAATGTCCAAGGTTAAGAAAGTCCAAGGTTAAACAAGTCCAACGTTAAAAAGGAGAACGCGGACGACTCAACAGAAGGATAATTACAGAACCACTCAAACGCGATAAATATCCTCACAGAGGAAGGTACCAACCAAACACACACCAAAACTACGACGTTGGTATAACGTTCGAACAAGTTTTAACACCTAACAAGTTATAACAACCAATATAGCAAGTTGTAACAACATTCTAATACGTCATAAACACGTTAAGCCAAGATGTAACAACTTTATTACAAGTTGTAACAAGCGGAAAATAGAGACAGTTTCGGTTTGTGTTTCCAGGGTAAACAAACCTTCACAGAACAAAACCATGAAGATAGAGCAAAAACTCATACATACCAGAATACCGTTTAATAAACAGAAACTACAAAAATTCTTTCACATATGAAACCGAACAAATACAAATCTAATGCAAGTATAGATCCTGACCTGACGGCTGAGTGGACAGCGCTCGGAATTCGTAGTCCCAAGGTTCCGGGTTCGATCCCCGGTGGAGGCGGAAACAAATGGGGCAGAGTTTCTTTCGCCCTGATGCCCCCTGTTCACCTACCAGTAAGTATGTACCTGGGAGTTAGACAGCTGCTACGGGCTGCTTCCTGGGGGCGTATAATAAAAAGGAATCCTAGTCGAGGACCGGGCCGCGGGGACGCTAAGCCCCGAAATCATCTCAAGATAACCTCAAGAATCTCTTATTTACAAGAGCAGGCACGTACACCCAACACAATAAATATGGCAAGTCCTGCAAGAACACTATGAATGCAACAGACACGCTGCAAATTGCAGACTCATAATTTCTCCATGAGCTCCGCGCACGCTGAAAGACAATCGTCAGATATTGCCATAAACACCTGCATTATAGAAAGAAAAAAAAAATATATATATATAAACAAATTTGATAGTAATCATGTTAGAAGATTTTACTTTTAAAAGAGTGCAATAAAGTAGCTATCAACAAATGCATGAAAAATGACAGGCTTGATAACAAGAACCTTTCAAGTAATAGATGCCAAGCAAACGTTTTAAGACACAAGCGCTGTCTGTGGAGGAGTACTGCTGCACACCAGCAGCCCCAGTCAAAGCTGGAGACATTGCTAACTTGGAAAACGTGTAGAAAACTTTTTCTGCCCAAATACATGCAATAAAATATTTATAAATTAATACCGCTTAAAATCCTACAAGCTGTATTCCTTAGAACGCAGGTGAGATACACAATAACTAGAGAGGCATGGCAGAAAGTGCAAAATCGCCCCTTTTTGAAAGGTGTCGGTGCAATGAGTACTCTAATAGTACCCATTGCTACAATGAGTACTCTAAGAGTACTCTGACCAAGAGGCCTTGTCAGAGACTGGGCCCGAGTACATTGATCCTTGGAACATCCTCAAGATAAGTTAACCTTCGAGAAAAGAAAGAGGAATATGTCCATGCACTCAGATCCAGGGCAGATTCCTGGAATTGATTGTTTATAAAGATGATGAAAATACCCTTAACACAGACACTCTGAATAACAAGGAGGAAAAGCCTGGAGATAGATGACATCCCGCAGACTCGCGAACATCATCCCAACTTCACAAGGGAGGGGGTAAAGCACTTGCAAAAAAAATAAAAAATAAAACGGTCACATTGATATCACACAATATTAAGATT